GACCCTCCTCACCCCCCAAAACTCTCACAAAATTTGAACTGTTTCTTCATTGTTTTCTTTTTAATAGTCAACAATAAATATTTATGGGGCACCTGCATGAAAAACCCTGTGCCAAGAACTGCATTGACTTTGATTTAAAAGACACGATCCTTGCCTAGCTTACAAACCTGTCAAGAAAGCAAGGGAAAACAAATATACCCTATCTAAGAAGTTTTAGGGTATCTGATGAAAAGATTGCTTGAATCCAGTAAATCTATAAATCATCTGTAGAAATGCATGAGGGAGCTTGAAGATGATAGAATGACCATTTTATGTGTCTGCTAAAAATTTTGTAACCATATTACCAACATCCTTCCCGAAAACATGCAAAAAGAGAGCATTATTTCAGAAACTTGAGCCTGATTGAAAAACAATATTTTCACCTCTTACCTCAGAGTTTTTCAAGTTTATGTCCCAAACCTCTGGGTTTCAAGAGAGATTTTTAGGGCTTCCGTTGAGGAAAAAAAATATGGTAACAATAAACACTGATGTTAGCTCATGATCTTTCTTTTCTCTTTCCTTGTACATGCTTTCTTCAAATTTGCCTCCCCACTTTTTTTTGGAAAAGTGCTGAAGGGAGAGGGAATTTGGGGGAGAGGTGTCGTGCATGAACTTGGCATGTGTGGCAGGGAAGCAATTTTGGGGGCTTATAGAGAGAAGCCTCCACGCGTCCCCAGTATGAGGAGACTAATTCTTGCCCAAATCTGGGAAACAGAACCGTAGGCCGGGCAGCAGGTGCAGAGGGAGCAGTCAGGTCTACGCACAAAGACAGTGGGGCTTATAGAGAGAAGCCTCCACGCGTCCCCAGTATGAGGAGACTAATTCTTGCCCAAATCTGGGTAACAGAACCGTAGGCCGGGCAGCAGGTGCAGAGGGAGCAGTCAGGTCTACGCACAAAGACAGTGAACCTGAGTACCAAGCATCTTTTTGTTTTGATTTTCGATGATTTTCATTAAATATGCTTTGATGTTGTAGGCTACTACAAATCCTTGTTAGAAGGGAATTTGGGCTAGGAGAAAGGGAAAGGAAAAATGGTGTAATGCCAATTAATTGTATAATTTATTTTTATTTTGCTTTTATTGGGCAGCTGGCTGGTACAGGGATCAAACCCTGGACCTTGGTGTTATCAGCACCATGCTAAAACAACTGAACTAACTGGCCAGCCAGTTAAATTGCATAATTTAAATTTAAATTGTGTAATTTAAATAGCCTGATGTCTAGAATAAAGGAAACCTTGCAAAATCCAAATGTCACAAATATTTTTTGGACCTGCAGTAGCAATCAGCTCAAGATTATGTCCTGATACTGCTGTTCTAGAATTTTATAAATTGGGCACAATTAAGGATATTTTAAAAATTTACATAATGCATACATAGCGCTTACTATATGCCCATGCACTATTCTAAGCATTTAACTCTTGTGATTCTAACAGCCACCCTTTGGGATAAGTATCCATTAATACCAATTTTGTAGAAGAGGACACCTAGGCATAGAATTGCCCTAAATCACAAAGGTGGTAACTGGTGAAGCTGGGATTTGAACCAAGTCAGGCAGGCACCAGAGCTTGTGTGCTGAATCACCTAACTATACCACTTTTTGATGGTACATAGGAAGGGTAATGAGAAAGAATTTTAAACCCTCAACTCCATAATTGTAAACACAGCTAAATAAGCAGTTGCACATCTTTTAGCTCCTTGCTTAACAACAGGAAATTCAATACCAATGTGTTCACTTTTTTCTTTACGTGACATTTTTCCTAGGTGGGGAGCAAATGGAATCTTAGTGTCACCTGGCATGGGATGACTTTGCACAGCTTCAGCTCCAACATGATGGTAAAAAGCTATACTTTGGGCTGGTCAGTTAGCTCAGTTGGTTAGAGCATGGTGCTGATAACACCAAGGTTAAGGGTTGAATCCCTGTATCGGCCAGTTGCAAACAAAACAAAACAAAAAAGCTATACTTCATATTAATCTTCATGTGTGAGTTCATACTCAAAAGCCAATAACTGCTGAATATTCTGAGCGTTCTCTAAATCTGGAGAACATCCTTTCCACTGGACAATGAAAAACAACATGCTTTGGAGTAGCCCCAGCAATCCTGAAATGTTTTCTTGTAGGAGGAGAAACAGCATGATAGTAAATGGCTTATCTCCAGTGGGGTGAAAACCAGTAGTTTTGATGAAGAAGCCTAAGGAAATGATAGTGGCCTCTACAACTTCATGCTCCTTTTCTTGTTTTGTCTCTGTTTTGTTTTGTTTTGTCTTGTTTTTGTTTGTTATAGTTGTCAGGCTGGCCCCAAACATTTGTGGAGCCCAAGGCAAAAGTACAAGTGAACGCCCACATACCATATGTCTAAATATTTGAAAATTTTAAATCAAGCTAAAACACTGTTAAGTAAATATGTCCTATCCTTCTACCTTGACAAATATACCATCATATCGAAAAATTGAAAACTGTGTGTAAAGTGAAGATTTTTGTTGGGAAAATATCATAGACAAGTAAATTTTTTTGTTGTTGCACGTGTCTGGATATTTTGTTGGGCTCGCAATGCTTAGATGAGTAATAAAATAAAAAAGAGACATAATAATTTATTATGTATTTATTCCATTAAATGTATTTTTCTTGTCTTTATTTTAGCAAAGATCACTAATTATATTATTATAATCAATATCCTCTCATAATTTGTGTTTTGAAGGATTACAAATAAAATGTAATTCTACTAAAAGTGTCCAAAATTTGAATACATTTTCATCATGAATATACATTAAAATAAACAAATGGAAATTTTAAATTAAATTTGTTTTCATATATATTATTTATGAAATGCTATTTTATTCTAAAATACTTAAATCATACATTCAATTAAAAGAAAAGAAAAATTATAATTAATGAATATTAAATTTTAAATAAAGCTGAAATTTTATTTAATTTTTTGGAAAGTTAGTTTAAAGTATTTTTATACAGGTAAAATTATTTGTATTGCTAGTATTTAATGTAAAGTATTGGCATCAGGTTTCATGAATGATTTACCGAATTAGGTGTGATATAAATTGTTTAATATTGCAAAATGTTTTTTTTGCTGCCAGTTGAAACTATTTCAAAGATTTGCTAAATATTGAATATCAGTAGAACCATGTATTGGAAAAGTGAGAAAATGATGCCAGGCACTACTGGGAAACAATACTGCAAGAGGCTAAGATATTTTGCATTTGTGCTCTCTGAGAAGGAGGGTCTACCGAGCTGATTAGTTTGTCTTTTCTCTCTGCCCTTGGAAATGGTGTTCACCTCCAATGTTCTTAGCAGCACAACCCAGACCTTTACAACATTTGGATGTGATCTCCTTTTTTACTTTGAGGACACAAGGCAAACAACATGCAGAAGCATTTCTGTGGGGCTTGAATGGAGTTAGTCACAAGAGCAAATGTTTAGGTTTAAAGTTGCACTGTGCCCTGCTGTATGCTAAATCCCAAATGACAGAGGCACCCATGTGTTCTTTAATACACTTCCCTGTGTGTGTGCATGTGTGTGTGTTATGTAGGCCTTTTACAGAGAAGGACTCAGGGCAGTGGCCCTTTGCCTAGGTCTAAGGGTGGTAACATTTGTTAGAAGTGTTTATGTATTTATTTTTTAAAGATTTACTAAACTTGGCTCTCTGATGAATGAAAAGGAAGTTGCATTTAGCAAAGGCTTTCCATGAGTTTATCCTCTGATGATCCCCTAATGACTAATACATACCACAACTCCTGGAATTGCAATGGAAGGGACACTGTCTTAGTTTGTTTGAGCTGCTATAACAAATTACCTGAGACTGAGTAGTTTATAAAGAACAGAAATTTATTTCTTTTAGCTCTGGAGGCTTGGAAGTCCAAGATCAAGGCAGTGGCATTTGGTGTCTGGTGAGGGTCCTCTTGCTGTGTCCTCACATGGCAGAAGAAATGGAAGGGAACTCACTCACTCCCTGGAGCCCATTTTTAGGAGTCCAATCCTATCCATGAGGGCTCTGCCCTTAGGACTTAATCATCTCCTAAAGGCCCCACCTCTTAATATTATCACTTTCCAGTGTATGAGTTTGCAAGGGGTGGGCGACATATTCAGACCGCTGCAGTCACTATAAAGCCCTGTTCGGGCAACATACGTTTTTAACAGGGCCAATTATTATAGAATCATCCTTTAGGAAATACTGTCTCCACTGAGAGTCAAAGGTTTATACACTTGAACAAGGTTGGTTTTGCCAATTCTTTCCCTCAGCCAGACTAACAAGGAGATAGCTGACTATGGGTACTGCATATTAGCATATGGCTGCCACTTAAATGCCTTATTCATAGGCACTTGTGGTCTCCACAGAATGCTTTTTATTTCCTTCAGTGCCTTGCTTTTCAACATGTAGCCTATGAACCACCTTAAGCAGGGTGTACTTGTTAGAAATGCAGATTCCGGGTCCCAGCTATTCAAAGTCAGGTTTTCTGGACTTCAGACCCTGTGGTTATGCTCATATGATTCTCAAACCATACTTGGAGAAAAATTGGTCTAGAGCAATGGCCCTTACATTTTTTTGATTGTACGCTCAGTATTTAGAGTAGCTTGCTCTAATACATATACAAGTATAGTCATTTATTCATAAATGCTATAGAAGTACCATTTGATATATTATGTTAATATATTATGTAAGTTGTAAAACATGCAAAATAAAAGGGTTTTCTAAAGGGTAATGATGAAACAAACACTATTTTAAAATCATTTTGTTTTATTTATTAATGATACAAAACTTTGTTCCCATCAAAATGTTATTGTCATGGAATAATTATTAATATCATCAGCAAAGCTATTTTTAATGAAAGCAATGTAATTTGAATTGCATCATATTTTAAAAAAAATTTTGGTTTAACAATCTTGATTTAAATGTTGACACTCAAGTTCAGTTTATAGACTTGTTTTTAATGCTATCATCTTTTTTATATATAGGTTTTGCTTTGCATTTACCATGAGGCCTACATAAAACATCTGACAGTTATGACAGGTTAACAGGTAAGCTGATAACAACTTAACTTTGCATAGAAATCTCTACAATTCTATTCGTAATGGAATGCTTCACTTTGAGAGATAATAATAGCAGTAAGGACAGCTGATCTTTACAAAGCTCTTCCTGCCAGGCATTGAACTTCGTTGAATACTGACAATAATGCCCTAAGCACACAGTTTGCTAATCAGCCTTTTCTAGATGAAGAATCTGGGGGTCATGAAGCTACTGTGTCAAGGAGCCAGAAGTTCAGCAAGTTTGGGTAATAATGATGACTTCAGTGGTAAACATGAGGAATTGTAGTGGATTGAGTTATGTCCCCCAAAACACACTGAAACTTGAATTGTGTCCCCTAAGTTTTATGTATTAGAAACTTGCCCCCCCACTGTGACTGTTAAGGGGGTGTGAAATCCTATTATGGTAATTGAAAGGTGGAGACTTGAAGAAATGAATGGATTGTAGGTCCCTGCAGTAGTGAGTGGATTAATAATGTTGGTCGGGGTGTGGTTCTGAGGGCTTTAAAAAGAGAGTGAATGAGGAGGTTATTCTCTTGCTGTCTCTGCTCCACCATTTTCACTGTGTGATCCCCTGCCATCACTGAAGTCACCACCAAAGTAAGCCTTCACCCTGGACTTTGGACTTCCCAGCCTCTGAAACTGTAAGCGATAAATTTCATTTTCTTTATATATCACCCAGTTTCAGGTATTTTGTTAAAAGCAACAGAAACGGACTAATACAGGAATTAAAGGACTGATCTGGCCCTGAAACTACTGCTTATGACTCAAGTCTGGCTTCCTAGTGAGATAGAGGAGGTGCTCCAGGGTGCCTGGGTGTTGAATGCCACACACTTAGGAAACAGGCCTCCTGCTGAGGCTGCCCTCTGTGGTCTTGAATCTGCAAGGAGACCATAGGTTTCCTGAAGTCATCAGCTGATCTCATGGAGGACTGATTTCCTGAAGTCTGTAGACGTCTATAGAATTCTCTGTCTGGATGTTTCAAATATCATTTATTTCAGAATTTGTTTATTTAATTTCTATGAATATAGAGATGTAACGTTAGTGGCTGGGGCATTTTAAAATTTTTTTTAGACCGTTCTAAATATTAGTCATGGAGGGCTTCATCTGAATAAATCAATATAAAAGCATCCTTTCTATTCCAGGTATTGTGCTGGATTCTTGAGATACAGTGGTTTCAAAGATCTGTCCTTTACTCACAAGAGGATTCCAATGTAGAGAGAAACAGGTAAGTGGATCGGAAATGAATATAGAATATTGAGGTCAGTTATAAGAATAAAAATAGCTATGCGCAGACTTGGGAAGACAGAGAAGGCTGCCAAAAGGAATGATTTGGAATTAGCCAGGTGAAGTGGTGTGGGGTGGAGAGGAGTTTTTGGGAGGCTTCACTCATTGGCTTATCATAGAACTTGAACTTGGCAATCATGTTATTTCCTTTCTTACTCCTCACCTCCATCCTTCCCCACCTGCCTCTTCCTGAATTTCCTTCCATCTGCCCTTCTGCTTTTCTCCCTTCCTTTAAAACAGAATCACTTTCTAATCATCAGGAGATTCATTATTAACAATCGACATGAAAGGGATGAACAAATTCTCACCAATAGTCCTTACCTAGGATTAAAAATTCTCTGCTTAAAGTCATCAGAATTTATTGCAGTAATCAGCTAGGTACCAGAAAGGTCTAAAACTCTAACATCATAGAACCCCACGCTCAGCACACAATTCTTTTAGTTTCTTAATAAAGAAATACATTATATCGTTGCAAAAGCCCTATATATGTATAATAGAAAGTTAGAAAATAAGATAAGCAAAAATAAGAAAATAAAAGCACCATGTTCCTACCACCAGAGATTATATTTATTAATACCATTTTGATTATTCTTTCAGATAATGTACATGTAAATGTATATTTAGCAAGATGAGATAATACTTTGTGAGTTGTTTTGTAACCTGATTTTCGAAGTTAATGATCTTTACCTTTATAAGTCGATAAATTTTTGTCTTATCTTATAGTTTGTTCATATTCAAAATCCTCAGTTATCCTCAAAGCATTCTTTAGAGCTAATCTGTCCAAACTAGAGTCAAATCCAGGCTCACATATTGTATATAGTTGTTAGGTCTCTCAGTTCTCTTCTAATTTAGCATTGTCTCTAATTTTTTTCCCATTGCACATATTGTTGGATAAACTGGACCAATGACCCCATAGAATGATTCACACTAATTTGTCTGGGTGCTTTCAAGTACTGTCATCTGACTGTTCCCCATACCCTCTATTTTCTATATACTGAAAGATCTGATAGTTTGCTGGATTCACATTAAATATTTTGGCAGAATGTGTCACAGGTGATGGCTTGCATTTTGTTGTCACAGCCAGAGATGCAATATATGTTCGTTCCACCATTAATAAGGCTAAATTTGGCCACTAGATTAGGGTGACAGAAAATCTGATTCCTCCGTTGTACACTTACATTTTTCTCTTGTGACTAGAAAGAAATCTTTGGTATTACTTCAGTACCCTCTGAACGTCTGATTCCCATTATTTATACACTTAATGCTTTTAATGCTAGTTGATAATCTTTGTCTGGGTCAATAATTTCATTAGAGAGTGACAATGATTATAATCTAATTCGGTTCTTCTTTCTTCATAGGTGACAGTCGTCTATAAAATAAAGCTTTCTCATCAAGTGGGTTTTTTTGTTTTGTTTTGTTTTGGTCTTTTTCGGTTACCCTGAAATACATAGTCTTACCAGAAAGGCAGGGTGAATGTTCAATTTTTCCCATTAGATATGCTTTCAAAATAAGGAGCTTACTTAATAACTGCCTCAAATGATGACATACAAGTATGGGGGTGGGGGTGCTTTCTCATTATCTAGTTACGGATTTTATGCTGCAATCTAAAAAACCACAGAGTTGATTGGCCTCATAACAACTGCCCCTACCCCCCTGTGACATTTTTAGAATAAGAAGTTATAAGTTTAACAATTCAGCTTTAGCTGTTTTTACCCTGAAGTGTTATTAAATGAAAAAGATACAGCCAATTCTACTGTTTTATGAACATTTTAAAAAAATGAATTTACAAGAAGGTGAAAATCCCTTTCATTACATAATGAGCCACGTGGCCCAGAGAACGCCCTCCACTGGTTCGGGTATGTGAGGCTCAGTCTATCAGCCTCCCATGATTAAAGGCTAATTCACTCCTGAAAAGTTGGTTTACTAAGGTGGGAAGGGCAGCTCCATTTAAGAACTGTTCACCTGTACTAACATCAAGACAAGATGTCTCTATTTTTTTTTTATTTAACAATATGGATACTCAACTTACGATATTTTTCATTTTAAAAAAAATGAGTTTATAAATGAGTAATTACTGGCTTACTTGCACAGTTCTTTATATAGCACATAAATTGGACAAAGATTTATATTTGTTTGGTCATTATTCTGTCCTATAAAATGAAGTAGAACCCAGAAGAAAGTGATAATGATAAATATGTCTAAATACACACACACACACACACACACACAACACACACTCTGAAAGATATATTACTAAATTGTAGAGTGATTGATTATCTCAATTTTAGCACTCAAAAAAGTCCCGGTAAACCCTCCAGTCCTGAGCAAGATGGGATGGCTAGTCACCTTAAAATTGCTCACACAACACACACTCTGAAAGATATATTACTAAATTGTAGAGTGATTGATTATCTCAATTTTAGCACTCAAAGTCCCGGTAAACCCTCCAGTCCTGAGCAAGATGGGATGGCTAGTCACCTTAAAATTGCTAGATGAGAAACTGCATGGAATTCAAGCAACAGATCTCTAAAGAATCTTCCTGTTCTCGGTCCAGACATTTAATTCAGACACACATTGATATTTTGAACTGGCAGGAAAATAATTTTTGAAGTACATAAGGATATGAATTCTCAGAAGTTAACAAGAATGCACTAAAATTCTGTAATCCTGCCAGTATGAAGGGCCCAAGAGTCTCACTCCCTATTTTGCACACCAAAGTGGTAATATAGCTGCCAATATTCTGCATAATTTTAGAAAATGGAATGGTATGAGGCGCAATGTGCTTTGGTTGATTTTCACTATGAAATTTTATTTATAGTAAGTACTATTTATACAAAGACTATTCATTGAATGTTAGGTTGAAAGGGACTTTGAGAAGTTATAGAATCTATCTTTTCACATCTATTCAAGGTCACAGTTAAACTATAATGAGATTCTACCCAATATATTTTTAAATACCTTCAAAGAAGGGAATATTTCATTATCAATTTTATGTCTTACCTAAAATTCTCATGCTTTATGTGAGACTCTTATTTTTCTTTTCTGGTTTATGTGAGACATTGTGAACAGCTGGGAATTATTCTTTGATGAAGGTTAGAGATTATTTTTACATTTCCTTTTAGTATTTTAATTCTAGAAGCTTTTAACTTTTCTTCAAAGTGTGTATTTTCATACTTTGTAGTTACATTTGTGGCTCTCCTCCAAATTCCTGAAGCACAGATTTGGGTACATTAACCAAACAGGACTGCAAACAAAGGCTTTCCTTAGGGAGAAAACAATACCTACTTTATAATACAAGTTTTTGTATTTTTTAAATTATAGCAGTCATGAAACTGACATATATGTAGCAAAAATAGCATTAATAAAAATAACCTGTTGTTGCAGACCCTTAATAAAATTGATGTCTCAAAGGACAAAACTATTAGTTTTATTTATCAGAGTCTAACACACTCTGTAGTATCCCCAAGAGGTTCTACAGGTATAGCATGTCATTGTTAGGATATATCACGAAAATCTCATTCTTCATCCTCCGGACCAGAAAAGAGCCTAAAAGCCCACATGCTTTCCGGTAAAAAGACGTGCTTTGAACCCATAAAAAGGAAAGAAAATGATGCTGTGAGACATATATTTTAATTTTAGTCTTTCTCCAGGTTTGGTGTTTGGTGGGTAGTTTAGGAACACAGAAATAGTTTATATAAGTGATTAGTATTTTTGAGATTGAAAGAACTAAAAGAAGTTAACAGGTATTTGCTACTTAAAGCCAGTGCCGAAGAATTGAAAAGCAGTATTCTTAGACGTTAATGTGCGGTCAGTTTACCTGGGGGATCGCATTAAAATCAGACTCTGATACTTTGTGGCCAGAGACTCTGCCTTCCTAAGGAGCTCCTGGGTGGTCCTGATGGTCCAAGTATCACACTCTGAATAGCAAGGTTGCAAAGAACTCAGCTACAGTTTAGTTTAGCCTTTCTCTCCTTAAGCTAGAAAAACAAATAGCACCCAGTGAGATACTCTCGTTATAAAGATGGGTGCAGATATGGGTAGCAATGAGAAAAGCTACCTTTATGGTATTCTTTCGTATAGAGAAATCTTTTTTTGTAAAGCTAATTAAGAAAGCTATTTCTGTAGCACAGTGACTGAAATATGGATATAAATATGAACACTACTTACAATGGTAGTTTAGTGTATAATCGCTGAATCTTTTAATTACGAATATTTAATCCGCTCTTATAACTAGATTTAGACTTGTTTTACTCCCCTTAAGTAAAGTTTATTTTTCTTTATTTCATATTATAAGAATACCAAGTAACTTTTTACAAAGAAACTTCATGTGCAGAAATGTGGTATTACAAATATACAAATTTATAAAACAAATACATTTTTATATTTTGCACCTAAAGTTGACACTTAGCTATTTTGAGCCAAGTCCCAATAGCCTTATTTTATGTAGTGCATACTTCAATTCATGCTCATTTATTAATTCAGCAAAAATTATTTATCAAGCAGTCCTCATTAATTTACTATGCTTTTTAAATTTTTGCCTGATCTGTTAGGATTGTTTGGTTATAATAGAAAAACCCAAAATCAAAATGGCTTGAACAAGATAGTAGTTTACTTCCTTCTCATATTCAAGGAGTCTGCCTGACATTCCTAGATCTCAAGGATCAAGTCATCTTCTGTTTTGTTACTTCCCAATGCATGCCTTTTTATCCAGAGATCATTACCTGATCTAAAATTGCTGCTGGGGTTTTAGCCATTGTGACCACACTCCAACCAGCAGAAAGGGTTAACAGGAGGTAGAAATGCATGCTCCCCCCATCCTTACCATTTCTTTAATGACCCTTCCTGGGAGTTGTTCATACTACTGCTTGCATCTGCTAGGTCCCATTTAATCACATGGCCACACCTAGCTGCAAGGAAGGCTGGGAAATGTAGTC